TTAAAGCCACAACATTGCAACTTGGATTATGTCTGCTAACCTGTTGCCTCACTTCAAAAGATTTATGGGCTAATTGTACCAGGTGCATAGATAGTTGTCATATGGAAGAGGAATTTTTCTCGTGGTCTAGTATGGACATGATCATCTGAGGCTGTTCTACAATGTCTTTTAATTTAACACCAACTCTTCCCACCGCAAGTTGAACACCTGAACACTGCTCTGGGAGCTTTAAATTTGCCACCTCATTTAACCCTCACAGCACCCATGAGAGGCAGGGTGAGCAGGTCCAGTTTAGAGATGAGCAGAGGAAGTGTTAGAGAGGTGAAGTCATTTCCCCAATATTACAATGCTCTGGAATATAAATAGTGGTTATAACTGTTGCAAGAAGGACACAAAACGTTCAAGATCAATAAAAAATTGCTACAAGTATTTACTGAGTGTTCATAAAAGTAGACTGAAAAAAACAGAGACTTACTATGTTTTCGTTTGGAAGAATAATATTTTAAAAACATTAACTCTTCTACCTTATGAGTGTAAGCAATTTTAATCAAACTCCTAATAAATTTTACTTCTTAACAAAGAGATTCTTAAATTTTAAAAATAAACCTCCTGGAGCAGAGGGAAAAAAAATTTAATAAGCAGAGAGAAAAATGTATGTTAGTATAAACTAATAAATTAGTTTACTAATACGATAATGTAATGATATGCTAATAAATACTATGTATATAAAATGTGATATTAATAAAATCAATATATTTGTTCAAAACACTAATGAGAACTCATTAAACGGATAGTTTGATCAAAGAAAAAGCAGAGATAGCCCAGAAAAAGATCAACATATATAAAAATGCACAGTATGATAAATATGGTATTTCAGCAGGAGAAGGAAGAATCATTCTATATATGGTCAACCCACTACTCATTTATAAAGATGATTATAGGAATAAGAAGAAGAAAAAGAAGAAAAAAGAGAAGTGGAAAGGAGTCATTGAATGGTTACCGGAATATATAAAACAAAATGAGTAAGTGGGTTAAAGCATCGTAGTGTTATAAGAAATGGAAGAAAAGAAGGAAGGAAGGGAAACTGAAAACCATGAAAGACACTCCAGGCAACCAAACTTGATATAGATGGGGAGACTTTTTTAGCATAACTCAAAAGGAAAAAAAAAATGAATGAATATATTGATAAATTTGATTACCTTAAATATTTTTAAATAAAATATTTCTATCAAAAACATGATAAACAACACTGAAAGGCCAATTACAAACTGTTAAAAAAAAGTTTTTGTTAGCTGTGTAACAGAAATAAGATATTTAAGTTTTTAAATGGTAATGTTTATTCTATGGCTACTTATATAACAGAAATTGAATATTTTAAATATCCAGAGCTTTTATAAATCAATAAAAAAAAAAGATGTATGCCTTGAGAGGAAAATGGGCAAAGAGTGTGAACTAGCTGTTTCCAGGAAAAAAAAAAAACTCCAAATACTCAATAAACATAGGAAATGTGTTGGATCCCTAGCAGTTAAAATATAAAGTAAAAAAAACGATTGTGAGCTATGTTTCACCCATTACCTTGGAAGTGAAGAAAAGAACCATTGCGGATGAGTGTGTGGGGTAAAGGCCGTGTTCACACAATAACCGAAGCGGGCAAGGGGCTACAATGCTGTTATGTTTTTTGTTGTTGAAGACATTATGCATCTGTGTATCAAAAGCCTGATGATTTCCTTCTGGAAATCTACTTCAGGATGACACCTGCACCCCAATGTTCATAGCAGCACTATTTACAATAGCCAAAACATGGAAACAGCCTAAATGTCCATCAACAGGTGACTGGATAAAGAAGATGTGGTATATTTATACAATGGAATACTACTCAGCCATAAAAACCGACAACATAACGCCATTTGCAGCAACATGGATGCTCCTAGAGAATGTCATTCTAAGTGAAGTAAGCCAGAAAGAGAAAGAAAAATACCATATGAGATCGCTCATATGTGGAATCTAAAAAACAAAAACAAAAACAAAAACAAACAAACAAAAACAAAGCATAAATACAGGACAGAAATAGACTCACAGACAGAGAATACAGACTTGTGGTTGTCAGGGGTGTGGAGGGTGGGAAGGGATAGACTGGGATTTTAAAATTGTAGAATAGATAAACAAGATTACACTGTATAGCACAGGGAAATATACACAAAATGTTATGATAACTCACAGAGAAAAAAATGTGACAATGAGTGTGTTTATGTCCATGAATGACTGAAAAATTGTGCTGAACACTGGAATTTGACACAACATTGTAAAATGATCATAAATCAATAAAAAATGTTAAAAAAAAAAAGCCTAATGAGACACGCACAACACTGACTTAGCAATAAACATACGTGTAATCCAACCCAGTGATTCTCCTCCTAGCAAACGTATTCCAAATAAGCCATCAGAGAGGTACTCCGACAGGTATTGGGAGGAAGACGTCTCCAGCTAAAGACAGAGATGTGTGTATCAACCTGTGGCAAGCAGCTTCCAACACGGCTTTCAATTACTCTGTCTTCTGGGGTCTAGCCCCTTGTGTTAACCCACTAGTCGTGGCTGCACTTGAGGACTTGCTTCTGTTAACAAACGGAATAGGGCGAAATGATGGACTGTCTCTTCTGTGATTAGGTTCCAGAGATTGACTTCTGGCTGGCTGGCACCCTTGTGCTTCCCTCTAACTCATGTTGAAGTCCGTATTCCTGTAATCCTCAGAATGTGATTGTATGGGAGGTAGGGCCTTCAAAGAGGTGATTAAGTTCACAGCATCCAATGTGAATGGTGTCCTTATAGGAAGAGAAGACTCGAGGGAGGCAGGCACACCGAGAAACCACCATGTGAAGAGGCAGCAAAAGGGTGGCCAGTGCAGAGAGGCCCCCGAGGAAACCAAACCTCCTTGTTGAAGCCACCCCATCTCCAATTTCCTTGTTAGGACAGACTGTTGGCCTGCTGGGGCTGCCACGACAAGACACCAGAGACCGTCCCTTCTCTGCGTATCTGTGTCCTAATCTCATCTTCTTATAAGACCACCAGCCATATTGGATTAGGACCCGCCCATATGACCTCATTTATCTTTTCATTTTTCTTTTATAAAGTTTCTAATGTCATTTCCATATATATACGCAAAATTTATGATTGTTATTAACATGACTCTACCATTAAATTTCCCAAAACAATGGACTGACCTTACCAGTGAACAGGGTCCTACTATGCAGTTCTCTGATGTACAACGAGAAAAGACCTCATGTATCTTAATCACCTCTTTAAAGACCCTCCTCTCTAAATGCAGTCACATTCTGAGGTCCAGAGGGTTAGGACTCCTACATAAGAATTTGGAGGGGAACACAGCCCGTAACAAGAGACCTTAAGAAAGATAAGGAAGGAGAGACAGGCATGGGCTTCTCTGGCTCATGTACTTTGGGCTAAACCCCATACCAGGGGCTTCCAATCTTTAAAGCGCTGGGAGGTCGACCAGATGGTCTCCCTTTTAAAGGCAGAAGAAGTGAGGCCAGGTGAGCAGACACCCAGCCATCCTCCCAGGTGGGAAAGGAAGGGAGAGCCTGCAGGATATGAATTCCTTCACAATGGAGCCCAGGGCCACCTCACCAGCCTCTTTTCTAGCCATTCACAGCTCCCAACCAGAACCCATTTTGCAGAATCGGCCAGTCAAAACTGAGATACTAAGAGGAGCATGCTCGTAGGCTTGTGGCTGCACGAGATCCCTCCCCCGCCACTCACCTTTCCCCGCGCAGAGCCCCCAGCAAAGTACTCAGACCTGCAAATGCGCTAAGCAGTAATGGCTCCTCTCATCATGATGATTGTTTTGAAAACTCTAAGTGCAAGATAAAGGGGCTATCACACTGGTGATTTTACCATCAACTTCTAGGGACCTCAGCCAAAGCCAGGAAACTGGAGAGGGGATGTTTTCACACACATTAGCAGCCCTGGAAAGGAAACATCATCATTATCTTCCAGGTAGAGATATGTAGTCTTGCGGTCCCTAAAGAGGCCCAGATGCACCTGCAGAAGCCCAGGGTTTGTCAGCTCACCGGAACGGGCTCATCCAAATAGACCAGCCTCGGCTGCCTCCCCTGCCCCCTGGCGCATCACTGTACTGCTGCTCTGGTCATCTCCATTCTTGGAGCTGGCAGATCACATTAAGTCTCTTTTCATCCTAAGGACACAGGTCCTCACCCTCTGTCCCACCTAGAATCCTCCTTCCAATTCTCACTGGTCAAAGCTTCTGGGTCTTGAAAGGTCAGCCCTGCAGCTCCAGGGATCTGCTCCATTTCCCTGAGGAACCTTCCATATTGAGGAGAAGAGGAGAAACAGCTACTGGCTATTAGGGCCTACAATGGACCTTTCATACCCCATGTTCTTTCTTGCTCCTAACTAGGCTATGAGAAGGCAGTCCATTGGCCCAGACATTATGGATGACTGAGGTCATAGAAATGTTCAGTAACTTGCCAAGGTCACCCAGTCACTAAGGGACAAACCCAAGCCAGACTAACTTTCCAGAGTGTGTGAGTTTTTTTCTGTATTTGATTCTTAAACCTCCAACCAATTTTACCAATAAGGAAACTGAGAGTGCTTTGGTGATGTGCTAAGGTCAATTAGCTCCCAAGACGGAGCTGGGATCAGAAATGAGTTCATTTTCTTCTTCTTTTTTTTTTAAATGGAGGTACTGGGGATTGAACCCAGGACCTCGTGCATGCTAAGCATGCCCTCTACCACTGAGCTATTCCCACCCAAATCAGAAACCAGTTCTCCTAAGTCAAATGTCCAATCAACGGTCACTCATGTATTCAACATAAATAAATTAAGCTAAAACACAGAAGGAACCCAAGGGTCCATTGATAGATGAATAGGTGAGCAAAATGGGGTTGATACATATAATAGAATATGATCCAGCCTTAAAAAGAAAGGACATTTTGAGATATGCTGCAACATGGATGAATCCTGATGACTTTATGCTAAGTGAAATAAGCCAGATCCTGTACGGTTCCACTTGTATGAGGCACTTAAGAGTAGTCAGACTCCTAGAGACAGAAAGTGGAATGGTGGTTGCCAGGCGCTAGGGGAGGTGGGCAATGGGGAGTTACCGCTTAACAGGCCCAAAGTTTCCGTTTTATAAGATGAAAAGAGCTATGGAGACAGACAGTGGTGATGGTTGCATGACATTATGAATGCACTTAATACCACCGAACTGCACTCTTTCAAATGGCTCAATTAGGTTGGTAACTTTTATGTGTATTTACCACGATAAAAAATACCAGGAAAAAATAGATTGAGCACCTACTATGCACCATAATAGGTAGTAAACGTTAAGAGATAACATGACAGTATGGAAAATGGTGGCAATTTTAAATGAATAAGAAGATGGTCTTTGAGCGAAGACTTAACGAAGGAAGAGGAAGGAGGCTGTGGCTCCCCAGGAGAAGAGCATCGCAGGCAGAGGGAAGACAGAGCATGCACATGGCGGCAGAGCACACTTGCAGCGTATCAAGGAGGTGAGCACGAGTAAGAGTAAGGCAGCAGGAGGAGGTGATGACTGAGTCATGGAGACGACTGGAAGGACTTGGCTTCCTAATACAAGAAATACAGGAAAGCCCATAGTCAAAGACTCAACTGCCCCCATGGGCCAGGCTGATGATGGCACCCCAGTACGGCTCAGGTGGTGGTACGGGAAAAAATGGGGCACAAGGGGATTGCCCCATCCCAGGTCTCAGCTGATTCCCTGGGACGTGCCCTGTCCTTGGCTTTGCGCAGGAAAGGATTCAAGAGCGAGCCACAATTGAGGGAAGATAGATTTATTCATAGAGATACACACCCCATAGATGGAGTGAACATCGTCTCAAAAGACAAGAAAAAGGCTTAGGGTCCTGGGAGATGCACATTCCATAGACAGACTGCAGGCCATCTTACTCAGAAGGGAGAGCGGCGGCTTCAGAGCATGGGGTCTGCTAGGAAAAGAGAGATCGGCCAGGAAGTGTGGGGGCTGTTAGTTTTTATGGGCTCCGTAACCTCACATGCTAACAAGTGGGAGAATTATTCCAACTACTCTGGGGAAGGGGCCAGGATTCCCAGGAGCTGGGCCACCACCCACTTCTTGACCTTTTGTGCTCAGCCTGGGAACTGTCATAGTGCCTGTGGGAGTGCCATTAAGCAGCTATTGTATTTCAATGAGCCCATATTGAATCTCAAGTTCTGCTGGGAGTTGAATCTTGCACCATCTTGGTGCTAATTGCTGTGTCATTCATTCTTTCAATGGCTGTGTCCTGCCCGCCCCCCCACTGGGACTGTGGCAAACAGGTGTGCCTTCCTCATCGGACCAGAGCAGCACCTACTCACTATCGTTATAAGTGTCCCCAAAGTAGAAGGCAAGCCTGATGTTGCCTGATCTACTGCTTTTCAAAAGAAGCCAGAAATCTGGCTTTTTGCATGAAGTCTCGGGATTTTTTTTTAATATTAGCAATGAATTCTATTTTGTCAAAGCACCACGTCTCCCCCCAAGAAGCTTCTGATTATAGAATTGTGACAAATCGACCCAGTTTGAGGCCTTTGCATTACGCCGGGTTGCCATGTGATCCTAACATCGCCAGGCCTGTCTGACAGATTTCGAGGCATCAGGGAGAATCAGACCACTATAGTCATTACCTGTATTCAGACATGGGAGTTAACTTCGATCAGCGCCGTTACCTCTTTGTGTTGCAATGATCTGTGTATGTCTGTTTCCCTCATTACTTTGTGAGCTAGTCGAGGACAGAGACTGAGTTTTCCTTGGCTTTGAACCCCTGGAAGAAGGCCACAACACATAATAGGAGCACAATTATTTATTGAGTAAAGCTATGATGGTGAATGTGTAAAAATAGCTTTCGTATGTGCTGAGGACAGAAGGGGAAGAAAAGACACAAAAGTAAAATGTAGATTGTGTTAGACGTTGGTATTTAAGGAAGTTCGTATTTAAGGAAGTTATCTTCTTTGTTTTCCAAACTCACCATTCTGTTATTTGATTGATTTTACAATTGTTAACGGGAGAAAAGGTTACAGTAAAAAAAATCAGTTAGTCTTTAAGGCCTCTCCTTTCAGAGCTGCTTGCCCTGAGATACAGACCCTTCTGGGGACAATTCACTAAGACGTCCCCCTGGCTGGCTCAAAACTCTTGCTCCCACCCCTGCGCTCAGAACCAATACACCATCCTAGTTACATCTGGTGATTCACACGATCTCACTGTATTGTTAAGGCCTGAAATCTTCTCTACACCAAAGCGCCAATCCAGCCCAACTCAGGCGTTTCCCACCAAATTTCCAGGCTCTTTCTGAAAAAGGTTATGTTTAAGAAGTAAGTGGCAGGGATTCTGCGGTGGGGACCAATATGGAGAGAAGCAAGAGTCTGGGTGAAGGGACAAAACAGAGGACATGTTGTCCTCAGACATCATGGTGGGTGGTCCAGGCACCATGTCTGAGAAGGGACATCCAAGACCTAATTGCCGAGCGGTGTGGGAATTCAATTCTGCACTCAAGGCAGAGCTTGACAGCCACCAAGTGATAAACATTGGGGACCAGATGCATGGTGAGCAGCCATCCACTTCTTCCCGTGTCGTCCACTCCATGTACTCCGTTTGGGGAAAATGACATGATTTGGGTATTTGTAAATGATGCCATAGTAGGCAAATGCCCTCTGCATGGCGGTGCACGTGGGCTCTGATGTATGGACATAACACTGGTGTGTTGGGCAGGGGAGCCAACTGGTCCTAACCAGAAGCATCTATTACAGAATCTCTACCCTGCAGATTGAGCCAACAGAGTGGAAAGGAAACTGGAACCACCTTGCTATGATGGATTTTGGTACACTCACCTCAACCTTGCTCCAGGATCTGACTGCAGATAGCCAAGTAAGAACTCAACCATCAGCTTAATTAAACCCCAGCTTCCTCCTTGACCCCTCCCCCCACAGACAGCAGCCCTCTGGAGAGCATGGTTTGAACCTGGCCCTGGAGTAGAGGTTTCCAATTCTATTCCCCATGCTTTTGGGGTGAAACTGTTCTGTACAGAGGACTCAGAACTGACCTATGACTAAATGGAAAGAAGCTGGGGGAACAGAGCCATCTCTTTCTCCAGTCCTTCTCTCTAAGCATAGGCAGGTCCAAGAGATCCAGGTCAAAGCTACACGTGAGCAGTGACTAAACCTACAGGCAAATGTTGCCCAGCGTATGTCGTGTTCTCATCAATTGTATCATATCAGCTACTCTAGTTGCCTTGGGGAAGAACAAGAAAGATGGAATCTCTCCTTACACCCTTTTTTGAAAGGTCAGAAGCATTGACAATCATTTCCTTTTCTATGGAAACCCACCAATGAGGAGAAACATACCTGCTGGGGGATTAGACAGTGGTCTCTGTGTTTTATAGGAGCGCTCCCATGGATTGAGCCCTTTCCAGTGCTCCAGGCAGCTTCCCAGATTTTCACGCCTTTAACCCTCCCGATATCTTATGAGGGAACTAAGATGCAATGAGCCACAGTGAAGCCAAATGATACAGCCAGTAAGTGGCAGAGTCAGACGAAGAACCTGAGGGCATCACACCAGAGTCTGGACCCTGAACCTCTGCTCTGGAGCTGATGTTTGCAACCCTGCATCAGCCCTTTGTCCCAGTTTGAGGTAAGGAACGTGAGATTTGCCCCCGGTGCCAAAGACAGCTGGGTCTAGAATAAAGGTCTGCCTGAATCCAGAGCACGTTCAATTATACCATGAAAGGGCTGTTGCATAAAAGTAGTTACAAAGGCCCCCAAGCCTTGTATCTGATGGGCAGGTAGCGACTCACCTGCGAAGATCCCGCAGTCCCACCTGAGCCAGTGCATCATGGTTCTGGCCTGTTATCAATCCTAAACTCTAGCTGACTAAAGGCACACAGGACAAGAGGAAGGCAGAGGTTAACGTGCTGCTACCTCACTGGTCAAAAAGCTCTCAGCCTGCAGCTGGGGGAGATAAACATTGTGGCCACCATCCTTGACTGCACATTAGAACCACTTGGGATAAAATTTTAATAATGTTTTTAAAGGTTCCAATGTAATTGACCTGAAGTGGAGCCTTGCCATAAAGGTGTTTTTGTTTTTAGTTTAAGTTCCCCAGGTGATTCAAATGTGTAACAATAGTAGAGAAACACTGGGTCAGGAAATGCACCCCAAACTGACAATTAGAATTAAAAGCTTCCCCTAAACTAACCTTCATCTAAGACACCTGGGGCTTGACTGAGCAATGACACTTGAAATGGAAACGATCTGCCATAATTTACGGAGTTTAATTTCAGCTCTTGATATCGCTGCTGGGTCTGTGAGGAGAGCTTGGGGAGGGGAACGGGGGAGGGGGGAGGCTGAAATGAATGACGAGGCCACAGAGATGGGACAAGAATCAGCAATGAGCTGCCCTTGTTTGGTAAACACACCCAGTGCTTAATGGTGCCTAATGGTGCCTGTAATTGATGTCTAAAGTTATTTAAAAGTAAATTTACTAGAAAATAATTAGCAATTTTATAGTTCACTACTTCCTCGATTTATGGATCAAAATTTTCTCAATGGTTTTATCAGGAACCACAATACAACAGTCTGTGAACTCAGTTGCCCAAAATGGAGGTAGATACGGGTTCCCTCTAAAGAGACAAATACATTTTAAAAAAATTGTTTGACTTGCTATTTCCATCCATTGGAATGTAAGCTTGTCTTTCCTCCCGCCATCACTCCCCACCCTCCCAATCTCCCATTTGAATCTGCAACAAATTATCCTTCATCAACATCCAGGGAAAGTCGTAGGAGGGTGGCTTGGGAACGGCGTAGACTTGACCTTGGGAGTTCTTAACCTTAGCAGTGGGAGTAGAGAAGAAAATTGTTTTCTCGCTAGATACATCTTTCCTTAATGAGCTTGTGGGAATATTCATTACAACCCATTAGCTCACCTCTGCCTCTTTCTGCCCAGCTAGCTCAGGGCTACAAGGAGAGAGAGAATGATAGAAATAAACTTACTAAAGATTTAACTAAAGATTTACTAAGGAATGTGCTTGGATGTCTCTTTCCAGAGCTGTCTGCTCACAGCCAGTAGGGGAAGGAGTTGCTATCGTTTTCAGTACAGATGGAGGCGCTCAGTATCTTTTACAAACTTTCTGTGGATGATTACCAGTTTCCACATCTGTGAAACAGGTGAGATAATCTTTCCCCTGCTTGTTCCTAAAAGTGTACGTTGTCCAGAGATCAGCAGCATCAGCATCCTTGGAAGCTTGTTAGAAATGCAGAATTTCAGGCTCCTCCTCAAAACCACTGAAAAAGAATCTCTAGGGGGTGTGGACTAGATATGAGTGTCTTAGTAAATTTTCAGGTACTTCTTAAGCATGCTTGAGTTTAAGAACCAATGATTTACAGGGATACTGTGAACAACAAACGAGATAAATGAAAATATGCTCTGGAAAAAAAATTGGAAGGTGCTGTCAAGATTCTGGGTATTAT